CAAACTAAATTATCTGCCCCTAATAGTTGTCACTAAACCCGGCTCTGTTTGTAAACATTTAGAGTGAACAGAGTTTCTTCCAGGCATCTCTTCGGGGGGGGGGGGGGGCTAAGCCCCCCCGAAAAATTTTTACCGCCCCCCCCCCCCCCCCGAACGAAATGAAATTTATATAATTTATATAGAAAATATATACTTTTAACAGTGTCCGCCCCCCCCCCCCCCCCCGAAGAAAGTTTACCGCCTCCCCACCCCCCCCCCGAAGATTTCAAGTGCCCCCCCCCCCCCCCCCCGGAGAAAAAAGTCTGGAAGAAACACTGAGAGTGAACCACAGCTTATCAGACCATGTAGGGATGGGGGTTGTAGGGAGCGCGTTTACAGCTTGTTTTCTAGCGTCTCCCAGAAGAGAATTATATATATAGATGCACTAAGGGCTTAATATAGGACGGTGAGGCCACACGGTAGACAGCTATACTGCTAACCAGAGAGTATGGAGTTCGAATCCGGGTTCGAGTTAGTAGAACGTTCCTGAAAAATTAGGGAAACATGGGTAACGTTAGGGAAACAAATATGGCTGCTGGGCATAGTGCTGACCATGCTATCCCTTTATATACCGAAACCTTTGAAGTAGATGAACTCTACCTAATCTGCCCCATGTGTGGGCGCGAACGGGAAATAACGATGATGAGGGAATAAATACATTGGATCCAAATCATTTTTTAGATTTACTCTATTGTAAAGTTATTGTAACTGGCTGTATTTATAATCAACAAGTAATCTCACTAAATCTAACCATTTTTAATTTATTAATAGAACAGAAAATAGCGTATAACTTTAAATTGTAAATTTTTTAAAAGTATATTTTAAATATTTATTTACTCTTAGGTTTCTACAAATCAATGTAGATGCGTACCCATATGATACTATTGCGGTCTACGATGGGAGCTGTTCAAGTGATGAACGTATCGCCACTATCTGTGCCGACCAACTCAATGAGACTGTATCATCCAGCAACAAAATTCACTTTGTACTTACCACCGATGAACTGATTACAGAGAGAAGTTTTATAGTTAACTACACCGTGAAAAGTGCGTTCATAGTGTGATATATTTTTAAGTTAAGCTCGAAGACTGAAAAAAAAAATTGCTTAAGATTTTAGAAGTCAGCCTAACATAAGGATAATACGTTCAGAGAAAATGAAGTGATAAAATATATACAAATTAACAAACTATATTATAATGGGACATTAGGGTCGGGCGTTATAGAGATGGACTTCTAAACTTCGCAGTCTCGAGTTCGATGCCCTAAGGGTGACCATGAGCTTACCTAGTTTTAATGGATACCTGGACAATTAATGACAGCTGGACATAAAACTGACCATGACTATTCCGTCATATGCCAATGTAACGAAAATAGGTGAATTCTACTCCACCTGCCATGTTTTCCATCATCTCGAAAGGGCTATCTATGTATGATATTTAATATTTATTAAGTAACTTACACATATTTCGAAAGCTTACAATTTTAAATATTTTCTTTCCCAAAAAAAAAGAAAAGTCTCTGAGATCATGATCATAAGACGTTTCTAAAATAAAATAAATATAATTTTTAAAGAATATAAGTTTACATGTTGGTTCACCATTAAATGTTTTTCGTGTATCCACAGAAGACGATGAGAACCACTGTGGACATGACAGTAGCGGCTACTGCAATGCTGTCAATAGAGCCTGGACAAGCAAGTCAGGTTGGACGGGCTCTTTATGCAATATTTATAGACGAATTTAGCAACACCGCATATAAATACACGACAACATAGCGGTGTGGTTAATTTATAGAGCGTTCGACTGCTAACCCGATAGTAACGAGTTCCGATACCTGGGTAGAGTTCCTAGAATGTCCTTGTCCACCAATCTCTGTTGAATCTGTTGAATCTGACTCACGTTAGGGAAAGTAAAGACAGCTGGACATAGTTCTAAACACACGCTAACCACACGCTAACCACACGCTAACTACACGCTAACTACACGCTAACCACACGCTAACCACACGCTAACCACACGCTAACCACACGCTAAACACACGCTAACCACACGCTAACCACATGCTAAGATCACTGGCACAAGAGAAATTTACTTCAAAGATAAACAGTTTTCGGTGGGGGGGGGGGGGGGGGAACTAAAAATTCCGGGGGGGGGAGTGGGGGGGGGGGGAAGGGCGGAGGGCGGACACTTTTAAAAGTATATATTTGCTATATAAATTCCATTTCGTTCGGGGAAGGGAGAGTTAAACTTTCTTCGGGGGGACTCAGCCCCCCCCCCCCCTCCGAAACTATGCCTGGAAGAAACTCTGAAGATAACCTTGTGTCTTTTGATTTTTAGATATAAATAATTTATTAATTTTTTTTATAATAATGTAATGTTTGTGCCAATTTAAACTTAATTATAACTGGTTTTACAATAATTAAAAAAAAAAGAATTAAAAATATGACCGCTTTGTTTCAACAGGCAGTGTTTCTCCATTTCTGATTGGAATGCACGCTGCTATTGCCGTAAATATCATAGCAGCACTTGCCAGCTCTTCTGATCAAATGTACAAGACGTAGGGACTTAAGAATGATGCTTTACATTCAACTGCAGGCGCACCCACTATGAAATTTATTGTACGCCTATGGGCTTAGAATTTATTTTAAATCAGATGTACATTAAATGGAGTTTAATTTTACCATTAGCTATAGAGTAGAGTATAAGCAGGTGTTTTTTACCATTGATTTAACAATTCCATTTGGTTGGGGTTCCTTGTTTTGTATACAGCATTCTCTTTTTATTTCTGTTATGAATTATATTTTTTTAAATAACACATGTGAAAATTATATAACTAAGTTAGCCATTAGAACTTTATTCAAGCATTCAAAATAGAAAAAATAATCCTTTATAAACAGTTAAATTGTACAAAAAAAAAACAACATAAAATAATGTTATAGGAATTCAATCTGAATATTATTTGTTTTAAAACTAAGAACAAAGTAATTAATCTTAGCAAAATATAGTAGAGGAAATGATTAACAACAAAAAAGCCTTTTGAATACTGTTAATATTCTTTTTTTTATTGTATTAGTAGCTTTATATGACATAATTCCCATTTGACAATGAAATAGCATAATTTTACTTTTTTACGTTTTTTTTTAGAAATTTGAATTATAAGTACATTTTTCATAAAACATTCTGTTTGAAGATTTTTTTTAAATTATAAAGTTTGATATTATAACAGGTGTATGAATATAAGTATGTAGATCTACGTACTGAATTTTAAAAAGTTAATTAATCCAAATTCACAATCAGAACCATTTTTTATTAATTTTTTTTTATCCATTGACTCTTCAATATTTATACTAGATTGTAATGGGAATAGTATTTATATTTCATTGTTTTTTCCAATAAACACCTTGTTTTCTTTGAAGATGATTGGAGATGATTATCTTTGTCTTTATTTAAGCAATGCGAACAATTTAATATCTTTTTACAGTACAGATCTTTTCTCAACGGGTATTGAATTACTGGCACACCCCGATTTCCAAGGGGGCGACGATAGGATGTGAAAGATTTTTAAAAAGCTAGATTTAAGCTGAAATATTGAATTATACACAAAGTTAATGTAAATAAACGTCTGCAAGACTTTACACACTGATGTAACTGTTTTCTACCTCAATTGTGTTGCACCAACATAAACACAGTTCCGAGATAGTGGTACAAACGGTTATTCATCCACGAAAATAACGAAATATGTAAATTGGGGTGGGGGGTGGTGGCAGTGGTGTAGCCAGGATCGTCTCAAAGGGAAAGGGGGGGGTGCAATTTTTACCCGGGGACAAACTTTCGATTTGCACCCCCCCCCCTAAAACTTTCGATTTGCACCCCCCCTAAAACTTTCGATTTGCACCCCCCCCCCCTCATACTTTATATATATATATATATATATATATATATATATATATATATATATATATATATATATATATATATACTGAGGGGTCTATGGGGGTGTTATGAACCCCCCTAACCCCCCCCTCCCCTGCCTACACCAGTGGGTGGTGGGGTGAATGAAAAGAGTCGATACGGCGGTGAATCAGCTAAAATCCTAATAATCCTAACATGGAAACTACAGGCGATTCTCTTTACAATTATATAAATTATATAATATATATAATTATATAAATTATATAGTACATAAAAAGTGTCTCTCTAACAATAATACTTAAAACAATCTAATAACCCTGGCCTTGTAGGGGATGGAGGGGTGCGGAGGTGGGGTTGTAGCCTGAAAGACACTCGACCCGGCTGTCTAGTTTACCTGGACATTTACATAAAACAAGTAATTAAAAAAAGTCTAGTGACAATTTTAGCGCAATTTGTGTTATCTAAAAATAGCTCTGTCGTAGCGTAAATCAAGAGCAGGGTATTACGAAACACCACTCTATCAGTCAGATAGCTGGCGAACGTACCCGGGTTCTTTTAGATGGTTATACACAGATGGCTTAAAGTCCTATAAATGGTTGCTAGCACAACAGTTAACGAGGACAAGTACTTATCGTCTAGGGGATACACTCGATGAACTCCTGATACCAACAACACATTTAATCCATAATATATAACTTTTAATATGTGTACAAATTCAAGATAAGACTCTAGCTTTATACAGAATAAAATGAATGAGTAAAATAACAAAAACCCAACTTACAATTTGAGGAAAAAACACTATGTTACACTATCACAGGATATGGCACTTAGGAAAATCACCACAGCTTATACGACACTACTTAAAGCACAAAATATTACTTAAAATCACAAGTAATAAAGGAAAAAATGCTGCTTAAAACTATAGGCTACAAAATAGCGACACTCAAGGCTTTCTCTCTCAAAGATGTCTGGTCTGACTTGCTGCTATGGACTGCTGCGATGGACTGCCTGCAGAGAAGTGTGCGCAGCCTATTTGACACATGAGGCAACATGGGAGGTCACCTTCAAAACATGAGACTATTGGTTGGGACAAAATGTGATACAGATATCAATGAATGCTTGAGTACCAGCTACTGTGTCGGATTACATGAAAAATGTAACAATTTAAATGGGTCTGCTGAGTGCAGATGTGTGCCTGGCTATGAAAAACAGAGTAGAACTTGTCAAGGTAAACTATAATTAGCTAACATTTTCAGATCATGTATATTCTGTTATGTAAGCTCAATTGTAGAAAATAAATGATAATCTGATGAATTTATGTAAATATATTTACTACTAAGCTTTGAAAATGTAATTATATATGCATTCTCATTGGTTTTTTAATAGCTTTAATAAAATAATTTTTATTTAATTAACAATTATGTATGTTTTAAACAATCTATTTATGTTTATTATGATACATATTTAATCTTGTATTTAGTAAATTTTATTGGATAGAAAAGACTAAAATTTTTTTTGATATAATATGTTTTAAAAGAATTTAAAATTAAGAAAAATAAGTATGTCTTTTCTATTCTCCAAAAGTATGCAACAAAACACACTATGGCTTGGATTGTTCTTTGAAATGTCCTTGTGTCATGGAAAACACCATATATTGTAATGGCACATCTGGTGCTTGTTTATGTTCTCCTGGATGGAATGGAACCAATTGTGAAAAAGATATAAATGAATGTGATGATATAAATTATTGCACTGAAGTACATGCAAGCTATTTTAATTTAAATGGATCTGCCGAATGTAGATGTGATAATGGTTATCGAAAGCTTTCCAGTGGAAAATGTCAAGGTTAAGTTGCACTCCTATGTTAAGAAGTAAAGCACACTCTCTAACCGTATCAAACATAGGAAAGGTGAAGTAGAATTCACTTGTTTTAGTTATCTCTGCATATTAAAGTATAGTATTTACAAATAGTGTGATTAGTAAACTAGTAAACTAATTTATATTTCAGAGGGATAAAAATGTAGACAAAATAACACAGTTCATACAATTTAAAAATTTATTTTAATATCATATAATGTTAACTGCGCACATTTTATACAGTTTATTTACTTTTCCCCCTAGCTTTATGTCCTAATTGCACAGAAGCAGAAGTTTGCTTTGATGAAACAGCTGATAAATGGACCTGTAGGTAAGATATACATTACGTGTGTTGCTTAATAACAACAATCAAAATAAAAACAAATTTCTACAAAGGAATAAAAAATGTATTTAAACTGATTTTAAAAATCAAAAACAACACTGTCCATTATTTAGGTGCATTTACAATTGTTTTTTTTTTGTTTTTAGATTTAATGATTCACGAAAGTAAAACCTCTAATTACAGTTTGAACAAATTATCAAAAGTAAAGATTCTTTTTACTAATGAAACTATTATCAGCCAGACATAATGTCTGTTGAAATCTCCAAACATAAAACACTAGTTATCATGGACAGGCAATTCAAATTTTTTTGGTAGTTATACAATATGCCCTGAATAGCTATGATAAAGTGTCTAAAAACGTCATATTTTTCTTCTATTCATAACTTTAAATTAGGGACCTATCCCTATGGTTGTGTCCAAAAGGATCAATCATTGCCAAAAAATAAAGAACTGGCATCAGCTAACTTATACATTGAAGATTTCATCCCATATTAGCTAACGCTAATTAGCTCTGTTTGGGTATGTAAGTTTAATGAAATTATTATATTACTAGCCGTCCCGGCCAGGCCCTGCTCTGGCTTCTGTGAAAAACCTTTCTGTTAAAGACCATTACCTGTGTGTTTAGTAATCATCATAAACCCGGCATTGCCCACCCAAACCACAACCAACCAAAACAACAAAACGCAAACATAACGCTAACACAATTACAAATACAAACGAAAACAAAAACCTAACAACAAACCCAACCACAACCACAAACACCAATACAAACACAAAGAGAAAAAAACGAAAAAGCAAACGAAAACAAACCAAATCCAAAGGCAAAACCAACCAAAAACACAAATACAAACCCAAACAAAAAAACACAAACAAAAACGAAAAAAGAAAGAACAAAAACGAACCAAATCAAAACGCAACCACTAACGCAAACCCACCTAAACACAAAGAAAACACTAACGCGAACATAAACGCCCGGGGCGGAATCACCTGTTTTAGCTTAATGAACGACTATAGTACCCAAACTTATTTATAGTCTTTTGCACTCACTTAAACGAACGCGCCTGTTTCAATTTGATGAACAATTATAATACTCCAAGCTTATCCGTAAAATATCTACAACATTTGCACTTGATCAATCCCCGCTAATTATGTAATTATTTTTTTTTCCCAACACCAAAACAAAGTAATTAAAAAGTAAATTGTTTTCCACAAAATGCAATGGTTTTATAAAGGGAAGTAATTGTGTTTTCCTAATTTATCAAAGGGAAGTAAGTGCTATAGGACTAAATAAAGACATAATTAGAAATGTTGTAAAAGATGATATTTTATTAAAACTTGTGTTTAATGAACATGCCGACAGTTATTACTATAATTTGAAAAATGAAAATTATTTCCCAACACTTTCAATAGTAATTTTTTAACTCATAAATTTAGAAAAATGCGCACGATAATTGTCTAACACTTAAATCCATCCAAGACCAACGACAAACATATGAGTTACATACAGAACTGAGCTTTATATATTAGATTATTATAAATTGAAATATATATTTTACTCTTTCAGACATTATTTATGCATGTCAGTCAATATCTTCACCCTTTTAATGCTATATGGGTTTCTGTTAAAATATTTTTCTAAACAGATAACAGTTAATGGTCTTATAAGTTTTGAAGAAGAGTATTCCAGCTTTAACCCACAAAAGTTACCAGTGTTAGACAAAACTTTAAATCAGCGCAGTCTGTTGGCTGTGTACTGGACTGTTCTTGATGTTAACGAGGATGATAATTGTGAAGTTTACTATCAGGTAATTTATATCATTCCAGTATTGTGAAACATACTTTTTATTTATTATTTCAATTCATTATGAATTTGTTCTAATTTCGTCTTATCAAATTTTTAAATAGTTTATGTGTATATTTTATTTATACTTTTGTTGAAAATTTTAGTAGTTTAATAATTGTAAACTTAACCATGAACACACAGTTAAACCTATTATTTTCAGATGTATGATTTGTATTCTAATAACACTTTGGGCACAGCTGTTTTTACTAAAGCCAATGCAGATGTTATGGCTCTCACAGAAAATAAAAGCTACAATGCTACAATAGTAATTGTGGTTACATGGGTTAATGTACCAGCACATGGAAGTGTGGATGAGGTATTTTGATTTTAGCACACATCTTCTTTATATAATTTATCTAAAATAATGTTCTGATTTTTGCAAATTAATATATTGTTTTGCATACCATATATGTGGCTATATAGAATGCAATATGGGATGGGCACAAAAACAATTATTATCTGCTATTGTAACTATTATTGACCAATTTCCTACACCCCATAAATTGTGTGTCATTACATGTCCTTAAACATTTGATTATATGCAACAAAATCTGAAATCATATCACATTGAATGTTTTTCTTGTTTCTTCATAGCGTGTCTCATTCCAATGTGTCATAATATCAGATGGACATACAACATATGCCATATACATCTACATCCAAGGTGCAATGAAATTCAAACCCTTATCAGCTAGAAATGTTGAAGTCGGTTGGGCAAATTTTAGCTTTGATACATCACTTACAAGTTACTACAGATTTGATACAGTTTTGGGGAACACTGGTAAATAGTCTATAGTACTAAAGACTCAAGATAAGTAGTAGTAAATGAGCATTGATTTTATAAAACTAGTTTATATTGATTTCATGAAAAGCACTAAATCTTTTAGACTAGAATACAATATTGTTTTTGGATTAAAATTTTGTGTGTTTTGTTACAACAGGAAAACCTGGTCTTTGGATTTTTAAAGTTGGAGAAAATAAGAATTTTAAGATGATGTGCCGTACATGGTTTATCTCTAATCAAGGAGAACTGCCTAGTAAAAAATGTCTTTAAAACTATTATTTTACACATATATTTTTATATTTTAAGCACATGACATCATTATTCAGTTAATTCAAATATATGATTCCAATGTTTTGAAATCATTACAAATGTTAAAAATCTTTATGAGCAGCTATTGATCTCTGGAACAAAAATCTACTGCCTGCCTGCCCTTGTAATGAAGTTGCTGCCAAAAGTAGCCCAATCTGGGTTTCTAGCAGTCTAGCCTATTCGGATAGAAAATGCTTTGATCTATTGCCATTTTTTGGAGAATATGGAAGGGTATGGCTCTAATATTGACCTCAATTACGAAAATAATTTTTTTTCTGTCTTCTATGCAAGCTGAAAACTATTTTCTTTGATTTTCTTTTCTTCAGAGATGCTGCTACAAAGCTGATGAAAGTTCAAGTTTTTTAAATACAATCCCACAAGCTGGAAGTCTTCAGAGATATAATTCTTTCATTTACAAAGAACATGATCAATTTGATGAAGACCCTAAAGACTGGTGCTGTACTAAGTCAAACTTGTGTGACCTGTACTATACTTTAAGACCAATTTTCTCATGCAATGGGAGTAACTGGGCTAGTAGTAAGATTATACAATTTGTAAAGAATTTTAAGCTTAACATTTATTGTATTTGTTTTACGTTTTCTAAGGTGAAACTAAAATAAGAAAAAATATATTTAAACTGAATTAAAAATGTGTCAGTTATTGCTTTGTATATTAACAATTTAATTCTCTTAGCTCCAATATTCAGAAATAATTTAATTTTTTTGTCATTAATATAAATATTAAAACAGGCAAACTGCTCTTGGCTATAGTTACATATTGTTTTGCTTTATTTATTTAAACCACTACTACACTTCTTATTCTTATAACACAGTAAGGAAAAAAATTACAAAAAACATAAATACACTTTATTACAAATACTTTTCACAGGTTTCTTGTTTGGAGACCCCCACATAATAACCATGGACCAAAGATCATTCATATTTAATGGACTGGGAGAATATCACTTAGTGAAAATAATAGGAACTACTAACCAGCATTTTAAATTGCAGGTAATATAAGTATATTTTGTTTTTTATTTTACGACTAAGAGCATTAAAGAAACTATATAATCATCTTTTCAAAGATTTTACATATATATATATATATATATATATATATATATATATATATATATATATATATATATATATATATATATATATATATATATATATATATATATATATATATATATATATATATATATATATATATATATTCTTAATCTTTTGTCTAAAAAAATAATATACACATTATATTCTTAAATATTGGCTAAATTTTAATGTTTATGATAGAAATTAATATATCAATTAACGTTTGAATAAGCAACTTGTTTTATAATTCATTAGGGTAGAACCTGTCGTGCATTAAACAGCAATGGCAATGAAACTCTAGCCACAGTCTGGTGTGCTCTATCAATGATGAGTGGTGATGAAAATTCACTGAGAGTAGAAATCAGCCCTTCAAGGAAAAGTAAGAATAAATGTTAAATATTCTTTAATCATGTTTAAACAATATAGTAATGTAATACTAAAATCAGATTTTATTGAAACTACAATATATAGGCCTATAGTTTGACCTTTTTTTATTTTTATTCAGTAGCTGTGTATATTAAAAGAGTTTCAAATTTCAAATTGAGTATGCCTACTTCTAAAATTTGAGTCGTAGATAGATAATTATTTATTTAATTTTAAAAATGATGTATGGAATATTGAATGTTGCTCTTTCTGTATATATATATATATATATATATATATATATATATATATATATATATATATATATATATATATATATATATATATATATATATTCAGTTACCCTGGGTTTCTCCTGAGGGTTGTTGAAACTTTCAGTAAGCTCACTTGAAAATTCCAGAGGTGGGGCAATTGAAACTTTCAGGAGGGGGGGTGTCACTTTCAGGTTGGGGGAGGGAGGTTTTGAAACTTCCAGGGTGGGGGAGAAGTGATTTGAAACTTCCATGGTGCGGGAAAGGCCTTTGAAACTTCCAGGGGGTCACATAAAACTTCCAGGGTGGGGGAGGGGGCATTTGAAACTTCCAGGGGAGGGGGAGTCACTTAAAACTTCCAGGGGTGTGCAGCACTTTAAATTTCAGGGGTGAGTGTGGACACTTGAAACTTCCAATGAGGTTACTTGATAATTTCAGGGGGGGGGGTCACTTTAAACTTCAAGAGATGGGGCTATTGAAACTTCTAGGGGGCGGAGGTCAAATGAAACTTCCAGTGAAGTCCCTTGAAACTTCCATTGGGGGGGGGGGGGGGGAGGTCACTCGAAACTTCCAGGAGCAGACACTTGTTATAGTATACTTTTACTATTTTAGCTTGTACATGGGCAAGGTAAAATGTTAAAGTAATAATTGATATATGATATGCTGTGGTGTAAAGTGAGTCATTGGCAACAGCACTAAATAAAATGTAATAACCAGGCCCAAAAAACTACATAAGAATTCATTGCACACAGTTTACTGCCTGTAATTAAATTATAAATTACTTACAAAAAAACAAGGTAGATTACAAGATTAGGTAATGAATTTATCAAACTTGAAATTACATTGATAATTAAAATATGAGTTCAAATTAATACAGTAAATGAAAAAAAACATATGTAAGCTCATGTTAACTGTTCCCAATGGGCTCAATCTGCAGTGCTAAAACCAGTTGTAAACATGTAGCAGAGCTAGTAAAAACTACACAAGGGTTTGCTGAGGCGTCAGTTCACATAATTAGAGAAATAGTTGGTGGCGGCCACATCTAGAATATCAGTATGATACCTTTACTGTCAAAGGTCCTCTCTTCCCCCTTCCCCCCAGGAGAGACGCCTGAAAACAAAAACACTGCTACTTTCTGTAAAGTGAATGCATTAAAGAAGAAATATTGTTAATTTAAATATTTAAATCATATAATATTACTAATTTTATTATTTTTTTTCAGTTATGATAATATATGCTAATAAAAGAGATTATACAACAGAATACTTAAGTAACCCTAATTTTTTTATATTTGATAATAAAATGATATTAAGAAAACAAAATGGAGCTTTAGAAGTGTCTCTTCCAGAAAGTAAGTTGCTTTTAATTTATAAAATTGGAAATTATTTTAATAACATTGCAAGTTCAAACATTTACTACTTCTGAAATCAATATTACCATGAATTAGAGAGTGATGTATATGTAGATGTAGAAGGTGTAGATGTAGATATAGATGTAAATATATTAGTAGATGTGGATATGGATATGGATGTAGACAATACTTAATACTGTGTCTATTTATAAAATTAATTTCAACATCTATTGCAGGTATTGGGATGACTGTTACTCTGGTAAATGAATTACTAGAATTTTCCCTCACGCTAGACAAAAAATATCAGAAAATGACCACTGGTCTTTTAGGCAATTTTAATGGAGACAAAACTGATGATTTTATTTGCCCAAATGGAACACAACTCTCTGATGATTCAAGTGAAAAACAATTATATGAGTATGGCAAGTTATGTAAGTATAAAATACGTTTTGTATATTTTAAAATACCATTAGTTACTAGCTCTGAACTTCTTTTAATATGATTTACATTTATTTTCTCATTTTTTAATTTTGTTTTGTGTATGAATGTACTGCTCTATGTTTAATAAGATAAAATATAACAAAATATCATGTATTTATTTAACTCTTTAAAACTATATATATTTTCACAGCATAGCAAAATAATATTTTTTTCAACAAGAAAAGTCATAAGTAGCAACATCAATAAAAATTATTTAGCCCTTTTTTTTAAAAAAAAATAAAAAATATAAAACAATATAAAAATATATACAAATAATTTTGTACAAATTGCCCATTGATTTTTTTTTTTATTTTCAGGGGCGATAACTCAGAATGAAAGTTTATTCCAGTACAGCTATGGACAAAGCAACTATTCTTGTGAAGGTATTTTATTTTTTTCAAAGTATACATGCATGACATCAATATGAATCACTCATTTTATTTTAAAACTTTAACATACCAAGAATAGTTGTTTGCTTTTAATTTGTACCCTGATGCACAAAAACATTCTGCTCCATTGCTGCCATTTCGACAATTGTATTCACAAAACATGTTGATTAATGTACATGGGTCTATCAATGGAAAAATAGATGTTTGCTATTATTAATACTTCATAATCAAATAGAAACATTTAAGATAGTAAAACAGAAGAAATTATTTAATACATTATTATAAACACAACTTATTAAAAAAGTTAGTTATTTTTTAAGATACCCTTTTCTGTCAGTTCACATTTGCCATTAGTCCTAGCAAATCCTGGGTAACATCTGCAATCATAACTTCCTAAGTTGTTAACACATATTTGATCACACTTATGTAATTTCTCTGAGCATTCGTTGATGTCTGTGGGTATATTATTAAAATTTACTTACAAACAATTTAATGTTTTTAAGCTTAATAAAGATTTTTTGTATTATGTAAAATAATTAAAAGATATTATTATCAGTGTAAATATTTAAACAATATAGTTTTAATCTAATGTAGTAGGACAAATATAGCTACACATTAAAATGTTTAATACTTACCAACACAATTGACTGATCCAGATTTTCTGAAGCCTTTTGGGCAGTTACAAACAAAACTGCCGTAATTATTCTCACATACAGCATATGCACCACAAGGTGGGGTTATCTTACATTCATCAACATCTTTGAACAAACATAACATAAGAGGTTAAAATATTAAAGAAATCATCAAACAACAAATACAATGGAACTCTAACTATTTTAGATAAATATAACTTAGAATAATTACAAAAAACCAACCTTCACACTTGGTTTTTTTAGAATTCAGTTGATAACCAATAGGACAATCTTTACATGTGTATGATAGCCCAGTGACTTGTTCTTCTGAAGCTGCTATGTCTACACAACCTTTCATGCTGGGGCAAGGATTGGTAGCACAGCCATCATTGTCTTTTTCACAGTCTGTACCTGTTGGTTGCATTAACAGTTGAAAGTCTATTCTAGTTTTTATTTAGTCAGAGTTGGAATACTACACACATAAGAATATTTTACCATTACACAAAACCGTGCAGAAATAAATCATCCCTGGTTAGGCAGAATAATAGATTTTTAATTAAATATAAAAAATAAAAGTATCACTTTTTAAGACAAAATATTAATGATGTTAAATATTTATACTAATGGCAAGAGAATAGTACCTAAAACTTATTTAAAAAGCTGTCAAATTGTGTTTTCATTTTGATCTACTTGGGGAATGTTTGATTTCACAAAGTTACAATAAATATATTCTTGTAAGATTAAAGATTATTTTTTTTATATTTAAAGACCAACTTTTATTTTCTTTGTGATAACTTCAAACTCAGATTAACTTAGTTAACAAAATATTTAAAATAATTTTCAAACAAAAAAATTAATAAACCATTATAAAATAAAAATAATCTATGTTTATAACTATTAGTATTATATATATAAATTAATTAAAAGAAACCTGCAAATCCAATGTTACAGTTACATGCTTGCCAGTAAAAATATGGATTTGATGTTGCTGTAAGCCTAGCTGCATCACATGTACCACACTCTACATCCACTACATGCAGAAATATTGATTGCTACCGATTCTGAATGCAGTCCTTCACTATCAGATGATGAGAATCTGGATTTAAGCAAAAGAAAATTTAAGTTTATTAAGACAAAACAAACCCTTTGAAAAAGTATGTAACATTAAATTTTAAAGACATAGTGTATTATTACATGTAGACATTTATTATAATATAAAGTATGCTTACAAGATCTGAGTTTCAGTGTCAGACAATACAATTGAATAAGTTGATGCAATAGCTTTTGATGTGTCTCTCTTATTAATAGTTTTAAAAGTGTAATTAGCATTGGTCATTAAAAAAACAGTAACATCTTGACCATCAGGATCAAAAGCTGTTAGAGTTAGACTGAAAGATTGATTCACAGTAGCCCTAACATGTGTTGTGTTGACAATAATATATGGGGCTTGGTTTGCTGAAGATTAAAATAGTGCAAAATATTCATGAGCGTTTTCATATTAACAAATTTTTATTAAAGTGTAAATAAAGTTACCTTTTTTAAAAATTTTGCAATTTAAATTATAATTTTTATCTTTATTTCTCTTTATATATTTCAATGTTAGCAGAATGCTTTTGACAAAATAATAATAAGTTTTTTTCTTGGATAAAATCAGCAAAACCTTAAGTGTTATGTTTCTATTTTTTATAAATTTCAACAAAACTTAAATGCATTTAAATGTATTTGGAATCAGAAACTTAAAAATTATAATCTTGTGTTGTGGTTTTTGCATTTACCTGTGCTAACTGAAACTTTTTCAAACTGAACTGAAGACTTTAAAGAAATTTCAGCAATTTTTTCATTCTGTGTAGCAATGAAGTCAAAAATACAAGGAAGATTTCCTGAACCATTACAAATCTTTTCAGCTTCTGCTATTGTTGTAGGATTTTGTTCATCATAAAATAATGGTGTGAAATTAGGGTTAGAAAAAGTACTTGTGCTTTGTCCATAGCTGTACTGGAATAAACTTTCATTCTGAGTTATCGCCCCTGAAAATAAAAAAAAAAATCAATGGGCAATTTGTACAAAATTATTTGTATATATTTTTATATTGTTTTATATTTTTTATTTTTTTTTTAAAAAAAGGGCTAAATAATTTTTATTGATGTTGCTACTTATGACTTTTCTTGTTGAAAAAAATATTATTTTGCTATGCTGTGAAAATATATATAGTTTTAAAGAGTTAAATAAATACATGATATTTTGTTATATTTTATCTTATTAAACATAGAGCAGTACATTCATACACAAAACAAAATTAAAAAATGAGAAAATAAATGTAAATCATATTAAAAGAAGTTCAGAGCTAGTAACTAATGGTATTTTAAAAATACATGCATCTGATTTGCAGGAATAATCAGATATATCATAACTACATATCTGGTCAGTCCTGCTAATCAGATGCATATATTATTATTAGATTTATAGTTATGATATTGACAAATATGAACTTAGAATTGTATTTTGTTGAACAAGGAGCAGTCACAAAAATGTATATATAAATTCTTGTGTTTTATAAAGAGATTAACTTTGTGCATTGCAATGGATATAGCTTTAATTTGTTAAAAATTGTACAATATAACTTCTAAAGGAACATTGCAATGGATATAGCTTTAGTTTATTAAATATTGTACAATATAACTTGTAAAGGAACTTGTAAATTAAAACTCAAACAACAGATGCTTACTGATCATATCAGTTATTTAAGTAGCTACATTGAGTTCTGAATCTTCACCATTTTCCTCATCAACTGACCAATAACTTTCAATAAGCAATTACAAATCTATCAAGTTTTGTCTCACTAGCTGAGAGTCTTAAGACTATTCTACCAAAAAAAAAAAAGTGTCATTGTCATTTATAAATTCCCACTTGTATTTTAGCAGTTGGGCAGCCATATCTTCTCCATTGATAATTTTAGCTAACCCTTGTTTTTGTCTGGTCTCCACATTGCAGAATATTTCATCATTAATAAATAACTGACCTTTTGCCAACTTATCAACATCTATCTTTAACTTCTTTCTTTCTTTCTTTTCTTTCTTTTTAATTGATTCTTCTCTTCTTTGTATGATTTCACTTTCAATTTCTCGCTGTTGGGTTTTGTGTGATCTTTGCCTGCGAGCACCTTCAGTTATAGCAAAATCTATTAGCTGATTTCGTTCATTGATACTTTTTGCATCAAGCCACTCCATTGTTTTATTTTATTTAGCTTTAAACTTTTCTAACAGATAGTGGTGTTGCCTGTGTGTTTATTCCTACATAAGGTTCATTGAAATAACTAACCAACTGTTGCCAATTTCTTTCAGGGTTTGATTTTAAGAGCATGAATTTTTTTATGATTCTGTTTACAGAGTTTCTGTTAACAAACTAATTTGTTGTTGTTTTTATGTCTGTTTCTATCTAATATCTCATCAAGTACCTTGGAGATATTTTTATTTTTTATATAGACTCTAGTACAAATAAACTACATTGCCTATTCACACTTCACCACTTACACCAGAATACCTTTGATAGAGATTTACTACATTCAAGGCATTCTTCTTCCCCATTCTGTCTTGCCTATAAATAATGAAATCATAAGTAGTTAATTATAGTAATATTATTTAATTTTTGACAATGGATAGCTAAAAAAAATTAATAGTTCTACTTATAATATATTTTATCATTTAAAAAAAAAATTCACGGACCTTTTGAAGAAGGGCATCGATACCACTAATTAAAAGAGTGACTGGTTTTTGTAACGTCCGCAAAAAATATGTTACTACTAATATATCAAGTTATAAGCTTAATAAAGTTAATAAACTTTAATAATATTAAACATATTAATATATTTATTACAGTTATTAGTTAAACAAAAGCTAGTGTGTTTGTGAGTGCTTAAAAAACAACTGAGTAATAATAAGCTAGTAAGTCGAAAACAACGATATGCCTATTTTAAAATATATAGTATATTTAATAGGCCTACTTAATAGGTTGACAGACATTGCAATATGGTGTTTAATTAACAAGAACCTTACAATTTAAACAATAATTGAATCACTAATTTTAATTTTATCAATAATAATCATGTATAAAGCCTTTAGAGCTAATTAATTAACTAGTAAGTTCGGGGCTTAAATACTAGATTTAAGGCTGAACGGAGATGCATGTTAAGCGGTATCGATATTACTAGTATTGGTCTACTTTGTGAGACCATTTTCAATATTTTCTACATTGCTAATAATTAACAAAAAGAAGTCTACTAGTACATTTAATTAAATAGATAAATATATTACACTCGATCCATGTTTAGTTTAAGTGTGTATCTTTTTACAGTATTTTATTTTAATAGCTCGATTCCCAGTTCGATCATGATTACAGCGAATTAGTTA